TAATTCTACTTAAACAAATGGCTTTCACTTTGGTTATGACCACTTATTTAAGTATTATGAATAATAAAATAATCATGTGCAATTTGAATGTTACACATCACCTTTGGGCAGAAGTGAAACATTTAAATTTTAATGCACATATATATTTAGTTCGCAGTACACAATTATAACACATCATCTTTGGACAGAAGTGAAATATTATGTATTTAAGGCGAGTGTCATGCAAATATCTATTTAAGGATATGCACTAAATGACAATGTTTAATAAGACTTGAAAATTTTTTACAAATGTTACACATCACCTTTGGGCAGAAGTGTATTCTAAGGTATTATTCAAGTCAAGCAAAATCAATCAATTTAACTAATCAAAAAATAAATTTTATTTGAGATTAGTCAAATGATTTATAAATTTAATGTTAGTAATTAATTAATCGCAAAAATTAAAGCGGTTGGGGCGGGGCCCATTTAATCAGAAAATCAAAAAACATATAAGGCAAGAGATTTTCCAACAAGTAAAAAAAAATTAACTTTTTAATGGTATTTTAACATATCCCTTATTTAGTTTTGCTATTCTTGGTACATAAGTCAATAAAATAAGGAAACAAAATATATCATGCAAAAGTGAGATATGTTATACAATTTAAGGAAACACAATTATATTGAAAATTAAATACCAAAAAAAAGTGATTTCATCAAAGTAAGGATGAACAATCATGTATAATTTATCAAAATTTGTAATAACTGGAACTTTAATCGGAAATAGTATACGTAAGAAGTAATTCAATTCCACATGATTTATATTTGAGATACAAGTGTTATGATTTCTAAAAAAACTTGGTTTATGCACCCCTTTAGAAATCTATTTTGCAATCATGATGAGTTTGCAAAACTCAATTATTGTGGTAATATGATATAATGGTCCGATCCAAAAGGATAAACAAAAGGAATAAAACCGAGAAGGAAAACACCTTCAGTTAGGGTTAAGATTTAATTATGTTTTTTTTTCCGATCTTAATTCGACTATTACAGGGAACAAAAACAGAATTGATTAATCAACATAGAGTGCTCCGATACCACATGTTGATCAATTCTTAAACATAAAATATAAATTAGGGATTTAATCATGTGTACCTGATAATCCTGTAAACGTAGTTAGGGATGAGGCCATGATTCTCACGCAGATCGAGTTCCCGTTTAGGGTGTATCGTTATGATGGCTAAGGTGAGAATGAGACTCACGAGAATAGAGAGGCAGAGAGGAGGCGTAAGATTGGTGTGTTGATTTCTGCCTAATGACCTCTATTTATACACCCAAGGGGAAACCCTAATTAGGTCATAAGGGTAATTACGTCCATCGAATAATTACCAAATAAATACGTAGGGTATTTATTAGGTCAATGATCAATTAATTAGATAAATGATAACTCAGGCCACATAATAAAATCGTGTCCAACAATACCAACTTTCATATCGTAGTTACTCTAACTTCAACTTTTAAATTTTAGTTAAAATTATTATTGTTTCATCTAGCTAACTTTAATTATCAAAATCTATATACTAGTAACTAGTTAAATGTAATGAGTATTTTTTTAAGAAGTGTTGGAATACACTACTCCGTATTATATACAAGGAGTGGTCATTTGTATTTTGATTTTGAAAAGTTTGATTTAATAGTTAATTATGTAGATTCTCAATGTAGAGTTAAACAAAGTTGTGCATTTATTTTTAATTCTAAAAAGAATCAATCCTTCATTTTATTTATAAAATACCAAGTTGCACCGAGACGAAAATAAAGATAAAAACATGACATCATCAAATTTTTTAAATTTATAAAGGACTCAGTTATCAAGATGTCTCAATTATCCAAACATGGATATTTTGAAGACGAAAATTAAAGTAACACCCTTTTGAAGATATTTAACATAACATAATTAACTCTAAAACTAGGTAATAGGTTGGTTTTCTATAATCTATCAATTCTAAAATAATAGATTCTGTTAATAAAATCAAGCAAAAGTGAATTGAAACCAAACTTGACTCTAGTATGAGAAAGAAGTTTTTTATTTTTAAAAACAGTACTCGAAACAAAAGAATTTGGCAAACAAAATATGTTTAAGTGCACCCAATTTTGTATAGACCTTCTAGTGAGGATTGATTCTTACTATATAATTTGATTCTTACTTCATTGTTTTTAGAACTAATTAGTGAGGATTGATTCAATTGTTTGAAAAATAGGCCTAAAGATGTATAGCGAAAAAGATAAAAGTAGAAGTAAAACATCAAAAAATTGCTGGTGGGTACCCCTCATTTTATAAAAATAACTCGCAGGTCCCATTATTTTTCAAAATATACTCCAAGGTACCTTAAGATATACCCCGTTAATATCCTTTCTCCCGTCATCATCTTCTCCTTCTATCATCTTTTTTTCCTATTTTTTTCCATCATCTTTCCATCTTCTTCTTCAATTCCTTCTCTTCCTCCTCCTCCTTCGCCTTCCGATGTGATCCTCCCCCCACCCCCTCTTTTTTCTTCTTTTACGTCTTGTTTTGTTTTTTTCTTATACTTCTATTATATTAATTATTATTTGTTATTAATTATTATAATTACTTCATATTCATTATTATTTTCTTATTCTATTATTATTATTATTAATTTTTTAATTTATTATTATTACTATTATTATTAAGAATTAATTGTTAGTTTTACTACTCTTTTCTTTTAATTTAGTAGTTTTACTACTCTAAACTTCTAAAGCTTTAATTGTAAATTACTTTTAGTAATATATTTACGTATCATTATAAATTATAAATTGCTTGGTTATAAATTATACATCGTAATTCATAATAATATAAAATTTAACACTATTTTTATTCAATTCTTTTCTCAAGTCCTCTTTTTTTCTCGATTTACCGTGACACCGCTACCAATGGTGACTACCAATGACTAATGTATGGCTAATGCAAACGACATCATCGGATGCCGAAAAATTAGAGCAGTAAAACTACTAAAAATTTGATTAACAATGATAATAATAGGTGTTATTTTAAATAATAAATGCTATTTTTCTAAATAATAATGATTGTTATTTCTTAAAAATAGAGTACTAAAATTACTACTCTGTAATTATTTTTTAATAATAATTAAGAAAATAATAAGAAATAAATAATATTATCTTCGTCCCGGAGTATCTGTCAGGTTTTGACTTTTTAACCTTTGACCTATAATTAAATAAAACACATATTTATATTAATTTGATAAAGTAATATTTTGAAAATATTTTATATAATAAATCTAATAAAACTTTTTTTGTATCAATATCTAATATCATTTTTTAAATTTAGGGTTAAAGTTTATCAATTTTGATCAAAAAATCAGAAATGGACAAATACTCTAGAATATAGGAGTAATTAATATGAAGTAATAATAATAACTAGTGGTATTTATATAAAAAAGTACAGAAGTAAAATTACTAATTAATTTCTTAAAATAAATAATAGTATTAATAATAAGTTTTTTTTATAATAAGTGCTATTTTTCTAAATAAAAATTACTGTTTTTATAAAAAAGAATAGTAAAACTAACAATTAATTTTTAATAATAATAAATTAAAAAATTAATAATAATAATAAAAGAATAAGAAAAATAATAATTATTATGAAGTAATTATAATAATTACTAACAAATAATAATAATTATAATAGAAGTAGAAGAAAAAAACAAAACAAAAAGTAAAAGAAGAAAAAAACGAGGTGGGGGGGAGGATCACACCCGAAGGTAGAGCTTAGGAAGAAGAAGAAGAAGAAGAAATTAAAAGAAGAAGAAGGAGGAAAGAATTGAAGAAGAAGATCGAAAAAAGATGATAGAAGGAGAAGAAGATAACGGGAAGGGATATTAACGGAGAGAGTGATGGAATGTCACCCCGGAGTCATTTTTTGAATATATTAAGGTATCTTGGAGTATATTTTGAAAAATAATGGAACCTGCGGGTTTTTATTACAAAATTAAGGATACCCAGCAACAATTTTCTGAGTAAAACATTGAAGATATATCAAAATAGAACTTTTATGTTTTTATTCTCGAAATAAGAGTTAAAGTGCATTTAAATTACTAAATATGATCATGTAAATTACCAAAGGGTATAGTAATGTGCACATATACAATGTCACATTATTACCACATTATCACAGTACAAACTTTTATTTCATAAATAAAAATATGAAATTCTTATTTTGATTTTTTTCCCTCAAATGTGAGAGGTAATTAATAATTCTATCTCAATAGAATAAAATAAAATAAGAAATGAGTAAAAAAATACTTGCCCGCCGGCTTACCTCCAAAAACGAAATGATGGCCGATCGGAGGAGGTCCATCTAATGCAATAATCGATCATTACACCCTAATTCAATCATCGGATCCCCAATTCATTCTGCCGTGAATGCCAATTCAATCGTCGGATCCCCCATTCATTCTGCTGTGAATCCCAATTCTATCATCGGATCTCCATTTCAATCTGATGTGAATGCTGATTCAATCATGGACGATGGATCCATCTCCGCGCGCTGTTTGATCCCCACCCGATTCGAGCATCGTCTCCACCCGTCCGGTCTGTTTCTGCGCGTTAGCTTCCAGTTCGCCTCCAAATAAGTAAGAATTGCTTCCCAATTCCATTTTGGTACAGTTTGGTTGATGCGGGACGCTTGCTGCTTCTGGGCTTTCCTAATGCTTTGTCTCTAGATGAAGATAAAACATTCATGGCGCTGCATGAAAGGTATGCAGATGTTCTCTGTCCCTCGCCAGCGCCCCCATTTGAAGAAGCCTACATGGATAATTGTTCTGGTCTCGTTAGTTAGCTTTTTCTTGGTTTGTGCTTATGTCTACCCTGCAACGAATTCCGCTTCTTGCTTTTTGTTCTCCTCTCGCGGCTGCAAGAACCATTTTGATTGGCTTCCCTCTGATCCTGCTAGAGAATTATCAGATGAAGAGATAGCTTCTCATGTTGTAATTAGAGATATTTTGGATACACCCGCAGTTATACCAAAAATCCCAAAGATCGCATTTCTATTCTTAACACCTGGTGCTCTACCATTTGAGAAGCTATGGGACATATTCTTTCAGGTTTGTCACCTGTTTATGTTGTAAAATCTAGTTTACTCTAATTTATCTTCCATTCATCATTACACATGTGTTTACATTAGTTTGTTTGCTTTTTTTGGGGGGGGGGGGAATTGCTCTGTAAACCGTAGAAATATTATGTCTATAACATGCATAGAAGCCGGAGAAGCCTCCATGCTGGTTTTTATATTAAGAGGAAACAGAATACCTTAGCTTGTTCTAATATCAGATGACGATTTTAATTCAACATGAACTACTACCATGTTCTCCAGGATTAGTTTCAAATTTAAAAGTTCCACTTATGTTGTGATCTTATAAATGATGATTGTATGCAATTGTTTAATGGATTTACTTAGGTTTTATAAATGAGTACTAAAGCAATACACTCGTGAAATGTCCCATGCATCAAGTGGCAATAAATGTATAGATCTAAGGGTGAATTACAATGTTATCCTTGAGGTTTGGACAAACTTACAATTGTGCTTCTCAGGTTTTACAACCATCCTCAAAGCCGCCTGTAGCAAGTCTCCATTAAGAGCAAATTGCTCTTGATTGCACGAGCCTCTTTACATGCATTTGTGTTTGTATAAGTAAGTACTATGTAAAATGTGCGGACAACCTAGTGTAATACATTATTTGCAGACAACTCAAATTGAATAGTACTCACTTGAGCTAGTATTTAGTGTATGTCATGCTCATGGCCTGTACCTTCAAATTCTAGAGATAAAAGTCTTAAAGTAAATATTTAAATAATACATAGGTGCATTCGATTTTGCTTTAAAACTTATATTTCTATCAATAATGATTAAATTAATACTCTGTACAATAGTAATTTCTATACCAATTAATCATTACTTCTATGTACCTCATATAATTAGAAAACACAATTAATGTTTGTGTGAATTTACAATAGCTTCCAAAACATTTAATTTATTAAATATGTCTATTTAAATAATGTATTTCCTAACTAAGCAAGTAAAATAATTACATCGCATACTACACAATGAGTGATGATGAGTTGATGAATAAGTCAATAACTATAATTGTTGTTACTACAAAATAGGTAAACCTCAAAATCAATGTGAACTTTAGATTGTAATTTTTTCCCAGACTAGTATGTCGGGCCAAGAGTAAAAAATAAAGAACCAACATGTTCATATTATGTGTGGCTCTATAGTCTATACTGCTCAACTCACATTGGACTTTGATCTTGCATAAATGAAATGCATTACACTAGGTTGTACCCACATTGAACATTATGTGCGGGAAACTGCAAAAGTAGGTTGTCCCAGAATTCAGGGACATGTAAGAGGTTTCTCAAACCTCGATACAAGCTTTATTCTCTCATAACACTGACTAACGGTAGAGACATTTGAGGGTGGTTGTTAAACATGAGGGGCATGGATATATGTGTGTCAAAACCTCACGAGTACCACATTAATGATTAATTCATCTTAGATTTTAGTTTACTTGAAATATCTATCAGTAATCTATATCTATATGGTCCTTATTGTTGAAGTCACATGGAACTATACAGCATGTTGCATTACATACTCTATGTGATTGATGTTGATAGCTATATATGTCATAAGTGAATTAATGGTAACAATTACGGAGTAACTATTAAGCTCATTCAACTAAATAAATCAGTACCCTAAAATTTGACTTGTCCTAAAAACATTTACTTAATCATGATCTTGACCTAGTGATAATGTTTTTTAGACTCTCTGTGATAAGGGAAATGTCGGATGAAACATAACAAGTCCATCAGTGACTGAAGCTAAGCGAATGAAAGTTGAATACTTACAAATACAGACAGTTGTGTAATATTGAAGGCTTTCTATGTGAAATTGTGAATTGAATACTATTGGTGGATCCTATGCTGTTTTGATTCATTTGAACAAATGCTGTATATTCGTTTTTACTGGAGTAATTGTGAAGAGATATTCATATTTTTTAAAAATTCAAATACCTTGTTGCTTTATGCTTAGGAAGCTCATATGTGTACCCACTCTACTTTTTTTTCAATTTGTGATAGCAGGGACATGAAGGTAAATTCAGTGTCTATGTTCATGCATCCAAGGAGAGGCCAGTTCATTTTAGCCGTTACTTTGTAGGTCGGGAGATCCGTAGTGCCAAGGTTTGTGGTCATTATCAATAATTGAACTCAATGTTTCTTGTGCCTATTCTCTTTATACAACCTTATGGGCCATTTGGTAATGTTTTGCCTTG